CTAACTAAAATCTGCAATATATCCTCACCTGGCAATACCTTCCTCAGCAGGGAAATAGCTAAGATTAACCTATCCTCAAGCCTGGTACACCTGCGTCGGAACTTGTATCTTATAGACCAATAAGCCTATTATCTTCAGTAAGCAAAATATGTGAAGCTATCATACTCAAAAGAATCAACGCATTTCTGGACTCCAACAATGTTATTATTCCACATCAATTCGGGTTCAGACGACATCTCTCCACAACCAACCAACTCTACCGAATGGTAGAAACAATTGCAAAGGGAATGGCTAACCGGAAAGTGACTGGTGGTTTATTCCTCGGCACTGCCAAGGCTTGATAGTTTGGCTGGATGGCCTCACTTACAAATTACACATCCTGGGTATCCCGGGCTACATCATAAACATTATTAATTCCTACCTAACAGGTAGACACTTTGTTGTTCACGTCTCTGGCACAAATTCCACAAGCCATGTCATCTTGGCTGGCGTCCCGCAAGGATCTTTGCTCGGACCTACACTTTTTAATATTTACGTGAACGGCATACCTTCCACACACGACACAGCATTAGCTATGTATGCAGATGACACAGCAGTCCTCGCACACAGAAGTGCATTTCCAGGTCCAGTTATACAAGGACTACAAAATTACATACACACGCTAGAGACTTGGCTCTCCAGGTGGAAGATCCTTGTGAACGTGGGAAAAACAACAGCTATTATGTTTGTGAAGAAAACTAACTTCAAGAAAAACCAGAAGTTGTATGGCACTGATATTCCCTGGGGCAAGCAAGTCTCTTATTTTGGGTTGATCCTCAATAAATCACTTACATGGTCCCCGCACATTACATCTATTATCCAGAAGTTTTGAGTTCGTAAAGCCAAACTATACCCCTTAATTGCTCGAAACAGTATATTATCTATTGAAAACAAGTTACTCATTTACAAGTCCATTCTACATTCACTTTTGTGTTATGCAAGTCCAGTTTGGGCATATACCAAGAAAACTCATAGGAAAAGATTGCAAGTCCGCCAGAATACTGTTCTACGGCAAATTGCAAATGCTGAATGGTATGTAAGGAATAATAGATAGGCATTGAGTTACTGCGCACTCATTATTATAACTTAGCCAAAAAATTTCATGAAAGGCAGCAAAATGTTGATAATCCCAGTATTAAAATCTATGATTACGACTATAACAGTTTGGAAAATATGGATAGGCCTATGGCCCAATTAAATGTATGGATTATGTAATATGCAACTCTAATAATTTGACATATGTGTTTATTTATGTATATATTTTCATTCCTCTTATCTACTACACTTCAAGTTTTCTGTCTTCATTCTCACTTTTATATATGTTATAGATATATGAATATAATTATTTCAAGTTCATGTCTTAATGTTGCGTACTTGATAATTCTTAATGGATTCAATTTGCTTATGTTTGCACTACCTCATTCTTGTCACAGTGACCAGTTTCTCGACTTTTCTGCTCTCACTAATTTAGACAACAACTCCATTGATATTAATACTTTAGCAATATTCTTATTTGACCTTAACAAAATTTTTATAAAAAACCTGTTCGATTTATCTTTCGGCTATTGTATACTACCTTTCGAAATGATCAAATTGTTCTACAAGGGGTAGAGCTTTGTCTCAGGCACCCTGGTGTCTCAAACACCATTCTACAGAGAGAGAGAATTTATGTAATGTCAGTTATATTCAAAAACTGAAATTTTTTCCATAATATTGTATATTTATAATTTTATGCCACCTCTTTAAATTAAATTTCCTTTTGTTTTATTATTTTTTATTTATGTGTAGAATATTCTTTATGCCACCTGTTTAGATTAAATGGTTAGAGTTGACTTTAGGGTACCCCTTGTATTATCGCGAAGTTGTTGTTTCATTATCGCCAAGTTGTTGTTTTGTTTATCACCAAATTGTTTATTCATTTATGATAAGCTGAATAGTTGAATGTTATGGAAATGAATGTTATGGAATATTATGATGTAATTAAGGATGTTTGCATTATTCCGGGAAATTTTGAATTGTGGGGTGTTTTGCAAGGGCTTTTGTGGTGTGTGTGGTTAGGAAGTACATTGCTTGTTTCATTGTTTAGACAGTAGAATGGCTGAATGTAGTAAGATTAATTTGAAGTTTCTGTACGATTTGGAACAAAGGGAGAAAAGTGCATTAATTGGCTGGTGTGTAAATGAAGGTTTACTTAGTAGCCATTTTCTGGACATTACGTAAGATATTTTTTACTCTTATTTTTGTGAGTTTATGTGGGGATGCCAATATACGGATTCTAGTTCAGATAATTTTAGGAGGTTTTTGGATGCTGTTAAGGAATTTTGTGTGCCACAGAAGTAAGTGGATATTTGCTTTGTGTAATGCTTAAATGCATAACAGGTTTTTCCTTTTTTATGTTATTTTATCATTTGGTTTAAAATGTAGTTGAAAAAAATGTGATACAGCATTAAAAAATCACAAAAAACTTACTTGTCAAATTACAATGTAATCGGGGCCAATGAGCCTATTAGATCATTTCATCTCAACTGGAAATGAAGAAATATATTCACTGACTGACCTTATGAATGCTAGTGGCACTAGAAATGAGAAAGCTAACTGGATAGAGGAGATACAATGTTTGAAGGAGACAGGGCAAACAAAAGCGTTTGAGGTGTTCCTAGCAGATCAAATGCACCTGACAGAGTGTTAAATCAGCTGTAGTTTACAATAAACAGGTCAACTAACCCTGACTATATCTGATGTAATTTGGCTGCAATTTTCAAGCAAGATCAAAATTATCAAAAAATTGTTTCAGGAACTTGCATATTTTTATAAAGTTTCCTTCTGATTCTAATTTGGTCAAAAATGGCAACCTTCCCAGTTATTCAAATACATCATTTTCCAACTTTAGAAAAACATAGATCTTCGCAGCTACTGTCACTTTCTCGTTTACACAACTAAAACTGCTGCAATTTCAAGTTTTTTAAAATAAAATATTCAAAACAAAACATTAATAAATATGTAGTGAAAAATTCCATGTTTATAAAAACAGAACTTCAATGCATAGTTAAAAATTCTGTTACATTTGAAAGAAAATTATGAAAAATGTATACTGTCAGGGCTGGATTCAGACTTGATAAGGCACTAAGCTATTTGAGATATGGGGACCTTTTCAAGTCCAGATATTATATGTCAATGCCAAATATGATTTTCGGATACCAAGAGGGCTTTTTTGGGGTCCCCCAAGAAATCGGAGGCCTTAAGCTATAGCTTGTATAGCTTATATGTAAATACTTCGCTGCATACAGTAAAGCTTTTACATGAAAATAAGTTTTTAACATAATATCCATTAATGCAAGCTATAATGGTATATATTTCAGGATATTATAGGAATTTTCTATTATTAAAATATAATCATATAAGGAAAAAAATGTGAGACTTTCAAATGCAAAAAAAAAAAAAATATCTTAGTTATATAGCTAATTACTTAATTCTCCGAAAGTCACCATTTTAGTCCCAAATTACTAAAAATTTATCCACTCCTCTATTTAAAAGAAACAATGTCAATGCAACAAAATTTCAAACTGACTAACCACATACAGATACAATATTTGGCCCTACTCTTATATGCCCCCTAAGATCATCAAATGTGGCAATATGTGTTCTGCGTTGGTTTTTGGCACGATTGCGTGTTGTATGGCAACCCTTTTGACGTTGAATACTCTTTTGCTGGAATGTTTTAATTGCTCGTAGGTTCGTGTCCTGCATGTTTTGAAATGGCCTATGTTGCAATGAGAGACGTGGTTGCAAGAGGGTCTGGGAGATTATTTTTAGTATCATGAAGTAAGGAAATGCTGATGCAGTGTATTAAAGAGTGGATTGATCCTTGTACAACTATTTTTTTGGATGGCTGGAAATCTTACAAGGATTTAGGAAAAGAAGGTTTCGAACATTTATTTGTGACCCATAGTATGAATTTTCTGGATAGTGTGTCTGGCTGTCATATAAATATGAGAGTGATTACATGTCGGCATGAAATTGGTATTTCTGCTGTTCGAAAAAGTATACATTCATGGTAAGTGCATTTTATTTTATTCTTGTTCTTATTTTGTAGAATGTTTATGTTCATTGTTTTTTTAGTATGGATTTCTGTCATTATTATTGCTTTTTGAATTGTTTGAAATTTATTTTAGTTATTTTAGTTTATTTTGTTAATTAGTGTGTAGTGCCCAGATTGTGCAATTCATAGATGTGTTTAGAAGTTGAAACAGAATGCCGTGTACATGGTATTCTTTGAAATTTATTGTTGTTATGTTAATTTATTAAAGCCAGGTGTGCGTAGTTCGTAGATTCTTTCGCCGCCTAAATTGTGCAATTCGTACATTTTTTTTAAGTTAAAACATATTGCTGTGTACATGGATTTTTGTCAAATATTTTTGGTTAGAAACTTTACGTTTTTGCTATCTAATTTATTTTATTTTATTTTTTTGTTTGTTTTTGATTTTTAGCCTAAAGTTTTTGGAGACATTTTAGGCTTAAAGTTCGAAATGTAGACAAAAAATTTAGATAGTAATATGGCACTATGGCACCGTAGAGGCGAGAAATTTGGCGACTTGAGGGCGCATATAAGAGTAGTTCCCAATCTTTTAAGTAAAGCAGATAAAGATAATTGCAATTTTCATTTTACACCAACAAAACTAATAAAATAGAAGTTAAAGTCTAAATTTGGCATATTTTTAATGATCCACTGACTATTAAGAGGAAGTTTTTTTTTTTTTTTTTTTTTTTTTTTTTCGGAACTATATTCAGATTTTAAATTCTAGACAATAATAGTTAAACTCGAACACTAATTGAATAAAACATTTTCTCTACATATATTTTCTCTATTCTAACAAAGCATTAATATTGAATGCGATACTACAGTTTGAAATTTATGCATACTGATTCAGTTTCTTGTTTTATACTTAAAATAAGAAACTTACCTCGAATTTTGTTACGGATTGAACTAACTTTCTGCAGTGCTCATACAATATGCTATCGGCTTTTTTCTTAGTCATTTAAAATGTTAATTCAATACAGATTAGTAATTCATTTATCAAATTATCTTTCATGCATTTAAATTAAACGACTTTTTACAGAACAGTTAATTCTTTTAAACTCAAGAATTAATCTAAACATTATATTAACCGCCAGAAAATATTTACAATTTTGTACGCGGTGCTACTAGCGTCTAAACCTAACTTTTGCTCATCGCCCGGGTTTCGGAATGACAGAAGGAAAAAGGGAATTTTGTCCAAGCGCTTACAAATGCTCATGTTGGATTTCATCCAAGCGCTCATGTTCGAAGACCGCGTGCTTATATCATTAATATATTATTAACGATCTGTTTTTGTTATCATAGTTGCTTGTCCAGCTACGCTTTATTTTATTATTCTTCAAAATGGCTTATTATACAAATTAAATTATTTTTATTATTATATTATAAGCAGCGTGTAATTACCTGTCTCGAAAATTGTTCCACCATAATGAATGAAAAATAAATGCAAGCTTCTTATGTCCCCCCCTTAAAAAAAGGTCGCGGTAAATGGAAAAAAAAAAAAAAAATGGTGTTTTCCTACCATAATCAAAGGCAGGAAAAAGCAAAGTCCGAACCCGTAATACAAGTCCCTAGTATAGTTCGACCGTCTCAAGAACAACCCTGGTTGGCATTCCGCCAAAACACATAGACTCGTCCAAAAGGGGTGGTATTATTTGCTGTGACGTGAAAGTCTCTTCTCAGGAAAGAGCTATGCTGGAGGGAAGGAAAATCCCCATCTTTCCACCCTATTTTTGAGCAAGAACCTCCTTTGAGAATAATTCGGTCCGAATGGCGCATGCGTGCGAACAGACGATGCTATTCGCACCCCCATTAACCACGCATGCGCATTGAATTGACAGATCCGTAACGGATTCCACATACGCGAACTGGCAACACCGACTCTACTTCAAGCCTAAGCGCGCGGTTCGAAAATTCGTGTGACGTCACGACTTCTGGTCATAATAAACTTCGGAACGCATGCAGTGGCTCTTTGCTGATTGCTGAAGCTTATTACGTTGTGCGAACGCTGAAGCAGAATACTTTGATTTTTTTATGGTTTTAAGGTTGGATGTATTTTAGAGAGGTAAGAATACATTACTTTACTTCTGTAAAGTTATATTTTTCTAATTATATCAACGTTTTTAGGCGTATGTTCTAGTATACATGTGTTATTTCTGGTAGAGACAAGGCTGCTGTGCTATGTATAATTTCTTTTTGAATAATGTTGTGTCAGCCCATCGTAGAATAAACGGGCTTTGCATAATTATATTACCTGATCTGTTTCAGAATAAAACATTTTTTTATGGACCTGTATAAATTTGATGTTTATAATATAAGCTAACACAGCTTATTCTTAAAATTTTACATGCCATTAGCTATACACTATAACTATTTACTCCCTTTTATATTTAAAAATAATTAATTTATATTTTATACATAACTATTTACTATTTACTCCCTTTTATATATTAATTTAAATAAAAACATTTCAGTTATTAAAATGCCGGGTAGATGCTGTGTACCATTATGTAAGGGAAACTACCCAACAGGACCAAAAGTGTCTGTATTCTCCTTTCCTAAAAATGAAGATTTGAAGAGAGAGTGGCTTTCTGCAATCCAACGGAAAGACTTTTCACCCAAAAAGAGTTCAAAGGTAAGTAAAGTAGAGTTATTAATTAATAGTGTAGATTCTAATTACATATAAGGGTTCATTCAGAAATTTTTAAATGATAATATTTTGTTACATAAACCAGGATATACAGAAATAAAGGATTGAAATAGAGCTTTAATCACTGCAAATATTCTCTGGTTCTATCTGTGAAATGAATATTCTTTACTACAAATGCTCAGAATGAACCCTCTGATTTTTTAAACTATTACTATTAACATAAATTTTTTTTTTTTTTTTTTTTTTTTTTTTAATTTTCTCTAAAGGTTTGTGAATTGCATTTCAAGGAAAGTGATTTTAAAGTTGAAGCTTCAGCATTTGATTCTAAGAATGGAATTTTAATTTCTGCTCCACTTCAGGTGCGTAGATTAAAAGAAAATACAGTGCCATCAATATTTAAGGACTATCCATCTGTATACAGTTCAAAAAGTAGCACCATTGTACGAGAAGATCCTGATGCAAAAAAAAACTGCCCGCGAGTGCCATAATTTACAGAAAGCATTGCGTGAAAGCCTTAAAGAATATGAAATGTATAATAATGATTTGAAAATTAATTGTTCTAATGATATTTTGTCATGTATTGATCGCTATGGAATATCAGCATTTTGGCATGTATACACAGTTCCAGATACCTCAACTGTTTGCTTTATTCATATTGTTTTTAGTCCTGGGCCATCAATTGATTATTCTGTAGTTGTGAATGACAATCAAGAAATGTCTGTATTTATTAAAGAAAAATCTATTATGCAATTATCTCCTTACACATTCCCACATAAAGTTACAAATTTTAATGAAATTAGGACTGTTTTAGATAAATTGGCTAATCTTCAAACCAAAGAGTTAAATTCAAAATTAACCATAACAATTGATATAATTAATGAATTACTGCAAACTATCTCTAACGACAAAAATGAGAGCATTATTAAATTTTTGCAAGACCAGATGAATCTTTTACTTTGCCCTAAAAATAATTTTAGATACAATCCTGATGTACTAGTGTTAGCATGCTTGTTAAATACTATATCACCACATGCATATAAATTTTTAAGGGATAGTGGCAGTATTATTATGCCTCATCCTTCGACTTTAAAAAAAATTTGTAGCAATTTAGTATTGTCACCATGTAATGAAACTATTGATGAAAATTTTTTAAAATATATAAAAAAAAAAATCGTGTAACTTTCCTTGAGGATCGAGAAAGAAAAGTGATTCTTTTGGTAGATGAAATTTATGTTCAGCCATATTTTGATTACAAAGGAGGCTCTGTCGTTGGGGCTGCATTTGATTCTTCCAGTCCGGCAACCAGTGCATTTGCTTTTATGATATCCAGTTTGGAATCTTCATTCAAAGAGGTAGTACATATTATGCCTGTTAAAACACAATAAATTTTGAAACATTACATTATGTAATTAAAAAAGTGATTAGAGGTCTTGAAAATATGGGAATTATTGTTATTTGTGTTATTACAGACAACAATGCAATAAATAGAAAAGCCATGAGTTTGTTTTCAAATCCACCACGTAATTCATTTGTTTACAAACATCCAATGAATGGGAATAGGCCTCTTTTCTACATAATAGATGCAGTTCATTTATTTAAAAATATAAGGAACAATTGGCTGAACCAGAAAAATCCTGGTACATGTATGTTTTTTCCAAATATTGAAGATCTTTCAAAGAAGCACTTCAAAACTGCTTCGTTTATGTCTTTGAGAAAGCTACATGAAATTGAAAATGACCAACTGATTACATTTTCTAATGGTTTAACTCTAAAAAGTCTTTCACCTTCTAATTTAGAGAAACAAAACATTAAACTGGTTCTTAAGATTTTCAATAAATTTACTATTGAAGGTCTGATTCATTTGGGTCCTTTGCATGAAATACCACACTATTCAGATACATCTGAGTTTATATCCATAATATGCAAATGGTGGGATATTATGAATGTTAAAACTATGTTTAAAGGTATACATCAAAAGAGTGAATTTATGAAGCCATTAACAGCAGATGATTCTGATCCAAAAGTTATTTTCCTCAATCAGTTTCTTAACTGGTTAGATGCATGGGAATCAATGAAATGTTCAACAGGCATGCTTACAAAAAAAACAACAACAACAAAAAAAAAAAAAAAACTCATACAGCTCTCAAACAAACTACTTATGGTATACTGGAGTTGACTAGATATTGTGTTGAAGAGCTTGGAATGAAATATATACTTCCAGGAAAAATTCAGACTGATGCTCTTGAAGCCCGGTTTGGTAAATACAGACAACTTTCTGGTTCTCAGTATCATATTTCAATGAGACAGTTATTAGAATGTGAAAAAAAATTAAGAATACAATCAAGTATTAAGTTAGAATTGATTATTAAAAATACTACTGTCCCTTTAACATCATTTGAATATGATGATAATCTTCATGATATTATAGAATTAGATAATACAGTATATTACCCATCATTAAATATTACGGAGAGTGATGTGAAGGGCATTAGTAGCCATCTGCCAGTTCTGACTTATTTGGGTGGTTACTGTTGTCATGCAGTTTTAAAGAAAGTGAAATGCTGTACCTGCAAACAAAACATTACAATAAATTCCACAGTTAATCATGATCAAACGTATGATCTTATAAAGAATCTTGATCGTGGTGGACTCAGGTGGCCAAAACCATTTATTGTAAATATAATTATGTATAATTATTTAATTGTAAATAAGCTGTGTAGTGAAGAATATGAAGATTTTTTGTTGGAACAAAATCAGAGGAAAATTGTTGCAAATTTGACTTTTAAAATTTTAGAATTAAAAGAAATGCTCTTTGATGATATTATTTGTGATAATGGTCATACAAGTGAAAGTATAAGCAAACTGATAATTTGGATATCAACAAATATCATGCTCAAGAATCTTTGCAATAGGAAAAATGACAATATTAAGTCCAATAAAGAAAAAAAAAAAAAAAAAAAAAAAATAAAACTTCAGACACTTGCAAAGTAACATTGATGCTGTCTTTAAAAGTAATTTTTAAAGTTCTCTCAAACTGCATCTTTGCTAAATATCTACGTGTCATCTTTGGTGAGCAGCTGAGATTTAAGAAGCATGTTTGTTATACATTTAAATTGCTTTATATGCCAAAATTTATTTTGGACTTGTATATATATTATTCTTTGCTTATTTAACCAAGTTTTTAATATTACTCAAGATTTTATATAATTTTTAATTTGCTTTATACTAAGTTACTTCTCAAGGTCCTGAAATTTCTATATTGTATTTACAAGCGCCTTTGCTAAATATCTACGTGTCATCGTTGCTGAGCAGCTGAGATTTAAGAAGCATATTTATTATACATTTAAATGCTAAATATCATAATTTATTCTGGACTTGTAGATATTATTCTTTGCTTATTTAGTTATTTAACCAAGTTTTTGGCATTACTGAAGATTTTATATTATTTAAAATTTTCTTTATACTCAGTTACTTCTCAAGTTCCCAAAGTTTCTATTTTGTATTTCAATTGTGTTAAGATTTTGTATCCTGCAATTACATGGCACAGTGTAGAAAGAACATATTACATGGCATAGTGTAGTAGTAGTGTAGAAAAAAGACAAATTCCATAATGTCTTCTTTCTGCACAATCTAACTCTAATATTTCTATTTATGCAATAATTGTATGGACTCTTTCTGGATAGTACTACATGTTCAGCTCAAGTAATATTTGCTCTTCACATTATTCACAGTGAATAAGCACAAATCAATCTACTAATATACCCGTGTGGTGACCGGGTGTGAAAGAAAATAGTCCCAATGTAGCTCATACATGTCGTAAAAGGCGACTAAAATGGGTACCCAGCGTCTGGGGGTATAGCCGGGCACCCTGCCCCTGGGGATTATATCAGGGAACTGGTCCTCCAGGTTGGGGGTTGGGTGTGGGGCTAACTACCCCACCCCATAAAAAATCTCACTGTTAAGAAATCCAAAGATAGAATTAGCCGGACTGCTTCTACTGGAAAACGACTTGGAAATGGCCTAGGGACTTTTCGTTTTGGAACATGAAAAATAAGCAAACAGACTAAAAGTTTGAAAAGTTATTGAAATAATTAAATAAAGAATGATGAAGTGTGACTGCAAGGGACGTCCGGTATCCTTTTCTGTCATTGCACTTTTCCTGACATGATAAGGCTCTACCACGTACACTTTGGTAACGAGGCTTGGAAACCTCGGCTAACACCTTGTTGTTTATTAAAAAGAAAAAGAGACATACAGCAATAATTATATTTCATAATAATAATTTTGACCCAAGCTCTATAAATATATTATGATATTAATTTATAAGTCTTTACAAAGTTACATACATAGGTCTTTATAACATTTCACCTGTATAATAGTTATATGATATATGATTTTAAAGACTAAAAAATAAATTTGTTCTGTTTTTTTCTTTCTTTGTTTCAGGTATTCATAACGAAGAAAGAAGAAAGGAGTGTTTTTATCATGAAATGGCTCTCAGGTGTAAAAATGCATAGGATATATCTTAGTTTATTGAAGTTAAGAATTGGTGCTTTGTGGACTAAAAAATATGTGCAATATCCATTGTCACACCACTCTGTTCAAGAATATCGATCAGTCCTGAATGATAAAGAAAATGATTAACAAAGGAATATCTAGAACTTGATTGTGTGTGCATGATTTAATTCCAAATATAAGTATTGGAATAATTCATCCTCCTTATTTTCAACAAAAACTCTTCATTTGGTAATATACATTTGTGCTTATCAGTGTGGTGTCTTGTGTAACAAATCGTCAGTATTATAAAATAGATGGAAAGATCTTTGATTATTGCAAGAGCTTTATGTGCTGAAGAAGTAAAAAAATGTCCCAGATAATTGTGGATATTATGAAACTGAGTATCATAAGAATGGAAAAATATTTCTTAAACAAATTACCTTGTGATGCATGTAATGGGTATGTTTATTTTATTTCATATAACTGTAAATTTAATTATTGATAATAAGCAAACTTTTTTTTTTCCCTAAAATGCCATTGGTGTATTGTCATTATTCTATATTGACATGTATTCTCTTACATTTATCATTGAAACCAGAGATTTTATAATAGAATATGGGAAACTTGTGTTGAAGGCCTGTTGATTGAAATACAAGTGACCATTACATCTTTGGAATTTGCATTCTCATTGCCAATTTTGAAAAGACATTCTTTTACATTTTCTTAAAAAAGTTAACATTCTAATGACTTTAGAAGTAAACATTGGCGACTTCATATGAACCAGTCTCTTGGCGAGTTTAGCAAAAAATTTGCCGATGGCTTCCCCATAACAGAACTGTACTGGATTCTATACCTGAATATTGCATTAAAAAGGAGAGAAAACCATTTATTATGAAGATAATAAATGATTCATATTACGAATGTTCATTTCTTATAATGATCGAGTTTTATATTCTTGCATTGTATTTCTTTTGTGTCAACACAGAATAAATTGTGTCGGATTTCAGTTATAATGATATGTGTAAAGATGCTGTAATAAAATTTGTTATAAATGTACTGTTGTGTATTTTTCTTTAGCAGTTGAATTTATGAAAATTTGTATTATTTTCTAACAAATAAAATTTTATATTTTAATATAAATCCATCTATGGACATTACAACAGATATTATATTCTGGAAAATAATTTATTATGCCTTTTCAAAACTAAGTTTAAAATGAAAACAAACTTGAATGCATAATAATTTTTAATGAATAAATAAAATGTGAAATATGAAAAGTGTTCTGACATGTCACATTAAGACTGCAATCAAATAAAGAATTCTTTATACGTGCATTGGTTTTTGTTTACAATTTGCATAGTCTTGAATATTTTACTGATCTAAATTCATTTTAAAAAATTTGGTGTCATGATGAGTAGTGATTTTAGGTAAAAGTTTACAATTGGGTGTCCCTTGTATTTTGGCGATTCTTTTTTGACACCAAGATTGGCGTCAGGAAGGCACAATTTCAAAATGGCCGCTATACAAAACCAAAATAAGAAGTCAAAGAATCGCACAAGCCCGCCAGTGGGCAAGCGGTAAAAGCCGCTGAATACTGGTAATTTGGTCCAGGGTTCGAATCCCGGCAAATGGGCTGGCTGCATGGGCGTTTTCGTGGCTTTCCCCATGTGTAACTTGGATATGAGCCAGTTTACCTTAAAAAGACCTCGGTTTAATCCTAGTATCCGGTGCACACAGGATTTGGCTACTTTTGGCGACTTTATGATGAGTAGTAAACGCGTCATTCAAAGAATATATATAGTTATACATAGCATATACTATGTATATAGTGTATAGTATATACATAGACGTTCTTTGGGTCATTTTTGGTGTTGGCGATAAGTTTCAAAATCGCACCATATACTAGGATTTTAAAAGTTTAATCCTAGTATCTGGTGCACAAGGGATTTGGCTACTTTTGCCCACTTTATGATGAGCAGTAAACGGGACATATACGATGAGTAGTTAAACAGGTCATTTTGATGTTGGCGATAATTTTCAAAATTGCACCAAGGCTGCACCGTATACTAGGATTTTAGCAAGACCTCCACGGGGCATTCCTCCTTTTCCTGTAGTGCCTAAAGGCGGAGCATGTAATAAGTAAAAGGAAAAAAAAAAGAATTGCACGAACTCTGTGTCCATGTACACATCGATATGTTTTCACTTAAAAAAGCATCCTAGAATTGCACAAACTAGGCATTGCGCACTGCCTTAAATTTGTCCATGTACACATCAATCTATTTTCATTTAAATAAGGAAGCTAAAACAAAGTTAAAACTATCATGGTAACCTGAAGCGAGGTTTCATTGCCAAAATAAAAAAAAAAAAAAAAAATGTCGCTAATCAAAGGGGCACCCAATTCTACACTAGAGCCTGATTTTATTTTCTTAATATATATAATGTTTAAAAACTGATATCATTTTTACTTTAAACAATATTCCCGAAAATATATGCTCTCTTTTGTGAAATGTTTACTTTATAATCTGTGCAAAATATTACCATAAATAAAAAAACTTAATTATTTCTTAAATATAAAGTAATTAAATACTTTCATTATCCCTATGATTATAAGAATTATAACTGAAAGGGCATAAACAAAAACACAATTAAAGGAAATGCAGTACTGAAAGTTTCTGGTTAGCGAAAAATTTGCAACAGAGCAAGCCATTACAATACTATAAGAATTGATTAGTAAGGTAAACATTAGTTGAGCATTCTTCCACAGTAGCAATAAATTTTTCATTTATAATTCTTAAAACACGCCAAAACAGATTCACGATTGGTGCCTCTGATTTAAGGTCACACAAAAGTAAATTTGATTTAGCAGACCAAGAGATATTCCATGTCAAATTTACGAGAAAGATCTTCACCAATGTTAAGCTTATTATCTAATATTCATAACAGTTTGGTTAGTTGACTATCACAAAGCTCAAAAGTGCTATCTGCTCATGGTGAAGGACTTTCTAATGAGAACTGGCTTGTATTCACTTTATACACAAAAAAAACTAACCATGCAGACACCATGTTCAGAAAATGTACTCTTAGCATTCAGTAACCTTAACCATTCAGCTACTCGTGGGTATAACTATTGTTCTAAGAGATAAGCAACAATTTTTCAGCAATAACTAATGTACTTTTTCACAGACAGAACTGAACAGTAAAAACTTCTTAAACTGTCGATTCAGATTCTAATTTAGTTTCTTCCTTTTAAAAGCAGGAGCTTCAAAACTTTCCTCATGCTGCTTTTTATTTTGAATAAGCTTCTTGAAAAAAAAAAAAAAAAATTCCACGTGCAGTCAAACATTTTATGATCTTTGTTTTGATATTGTAACAGGAGGGAATATTTACCTCATCTGATTTTGCATATTTATAAATTCTTCGTCCATAGTTATATTTCCACATATTATTTTGTCTTGAAAATTTTGAATTATTTTTTCACATAGAAAGCATAATTTAAAAATTTCAGGAGGACTTTTAAATCCCCCCTAAATTTGCAAAATTAATTAATTAATACTGCTAATTAAAACATATTTCCTGTTCACACATTGAAAATAAATTTAAAGTAACTATAGTTAGAAATACAACATGAAGGTTTACTATAACATAAAAGCATGATAATAGGATCAAAATGATGCATAGAATATTTAAATTAATACTTCTTCAAAATGCCTAGACAAATACACAATTTATTTATCTTAATATAACGAAAAACCTAAATAATTTATAATTTAGATCATAACTATGTATCCAATTTTTAACAAAGGTGCAAACCAACAGGTTTGGTGACAATACATCAAAATATAGCATGCGACTTTAAATTACCAATCGTAGAGTAAAATTGAAACACGAAAAGTCATATCACATTTCTAACCAAGCACAAAATTTACATGAAATGTAGTGTACAATTTTACAAACGATAATAAAAGAAACATCACAAACAGTATCGGCTATAATTTACTGCACAAACACACACACATTCCGCAGTTTATTTTGTATTTATAAAATCATTTGATCATTAATAAATGATAGTTAAACGAAAATGCACGTTTTAAAGAAATACGAAGAGTAATTTATTCTAACATTCTATGAGAAAATTCGAAGCTGAACTTACCTCAAAAACATGCTTTTGAGACCGGAATCCATTGATTTTGACGAGAATTAATTATCCATTTTCTTCATCTTTCTTCATTTTTGGCGAAACGTCCTAAACTTATTTTTTGAATGATTGGAACAATTTGATGCAACACATCCACCCATATTTGTCAAAATTAAGTCGGAATCGACCAACAAATATGTCAACAAAAGGACACTGTAAAATAGCGATAGCAACAAGCACGCTTCGTTCGTTACAACGGACGACGCATCAAATCCCCGATGACCACAACTTGTCACGTCACAAAACCGCCATCTGGCTTGTAGTAGAGTCGGTGTTGCCTGAACGCATAGGTGAAAGTAGCAGAGGAGATAAGGGATGATTATTTGCTGAGATGCACTTTCTGTGAAGAAGATGGAGGAGTTGGTGTTGGGCTTCAAGGAATATGGGTTTTAGTTGGGATTCGATGTACACCTCAGAGGAGGGGGTAAATCGGAGAAGTCCGAGAGCTCTCTTAATAGCCATTTTGTGGTCAATCTCCAGGGTTTGAGCTTATTTGTGGATAGATTACATAGCACGGGAAGGCTGTAAATGGAGATAGAGCGGACAGTAGAGATATAAAGGAGGAGCTGCAAGTGTGGGTTAGGGCCGATAGAAGTGCCAGTGCAGGATTTGAGAATGTTAGATGTAGACTTTGTTTTAGATGTTAGTTGTTTGATATGTGGAATAAAGGATAGTGAGTTGTCAAGAGTGACTCCTAAGAATTTGTGAGAGGAATGGGGAGGTCATAGATTAAGAGAGTGGGGGGGCATGGATGTCGTTTTTTGGAAAAGAATAGATGGCGGCATTTCTCTGGGGCTAGGGAGAAACCCCATTCTTTGCAATAGTCACAGACTTGGTCTATTGCGTATTGTAAGTTAATATCCTTGTCCAAGATGGACCAAATCGCAATATCATCGGCAAAAATGGCGATGCGGATGTTGCTATTGATGAGGGAGGGGAGGTCATTGAGCATAAGATTAAAGAGAAGGGGAGAAAGTACTCCTCCTTGTGGGGTGCCGTGATCCATGGAGAAAGGGCTGGAAAGATGGGAGCCGAGTTTAATACTGGAATCACGGGGAGAAAGAAAGAATTGGATATATTCGTTAATAATTTTACCGAATCCTAGTTTAAGAAATTTGCAGAGGAGTGCTTTTGGATTTACAGAGTCGAATGCACTTTTGAGGTCGAAGAAGACAACAGAAGTCTCTTTTTTTTGTGATGAAAGGCATCTTGGATGTCGAGGCTAAGTAGTAGAACGATGTCGATAGCAGATCTATTTGATCTAAATCCATACAGATGAGGATTATAAATATTGAAGTTTTCGAAGGCCCAAGAGAGTCTATTCTTAACAAGTTTTTCAAAGAGTTTTCCGAGACAGGAGCTGAGACAGATGGGACGATAGGAAGATGGGGATGAGAGGTCTTTCCCCGGTTTAGGGATTGGGATGATGAGAGATTGTTTCCAGGAGGAGGGGAATTTCGAGTTGGTCCACAAGAAATTGAAGGTTGAGAGAAGTAGGCTGAGTTTTTTGTGAAGAAAGAGTTTCAGTGTTTTATTGGAAATGCCGTCTGGCCCTTCTGAGGAGTTTGTGCGGAGGGTACGAATTGCGGTACGAAGTTCGCAGGGGAGAAAGGGCATGATGAGTCAAGGGCATGATTGAGAGGAGGTTTATGAAAGAAAATATAGGCCTCAATGAGTTGGAAAGGAAAGGATAGGATAGGATTTATAGGGGGGTTAAATTCTGAAGAGAAGAGGGTGCAGACAGAATTTAGGTCTCGGTTTTCAAGAGCAAGGATGGTATGCCAAGCAGGATTTGGGATGGGCGAGGAGGAGAGAGATTTAATAATTTTCCAAATTTTAGATTTTGGGATCGAAGGAGAGACTTGCATGTTCCCATTTTTTTTTTTTTTTTTTTTTTGCAAGATAATTGATTTGGGGGTTGATTTTTGCATTTATCCTACGATAAGATATAAGATCTTTAGGGTCTTTAGTATTATACGCAATCCTTTTGTATCGAGTTCTGATTGCGCATAGTTTATTAAAGAGAGGTAAGGTTTTTCTTCCAAACAGGTACTGTAATTTTATGGAGCTCTCGCGGGTGACGTTCTGAATGTGAGAGAAAAAAGACTCACAGTCAGATAGGGAATAGAAGGAGGTGGTGTGGTGAGATAGTTTAGCAAATTTAGAGACAACCTCAGAGTGGTCAAGAATCTTTCTCTTGACCGTCTGAGGAGGAGAGGAAGAGGGAAAGTGAAGATAGATAGGAACATGGTCGCTGCCGTAGGAGTGGGGGTGTGCATGCCATGCAAGACGGTGTGCGAAGTGTGATGAGATTAGAGAAAGGTCTAGAGTGCTGGTAGTGCCTGAGTGGTGAAAGTAAGTAGGAGCAGGATAGTTCATCAGGGTGAATTGGAACTGGAGAAGAAATTTTTCGAGTGAGGCCCCACTAGCGTTTGTGCTAGAGGAACCCCATAAGGGTGAGTGAGCGTTGAAATCACCTTGAATAATAGTGGGGATAGAGGAAAAGGTGCTGAGAGACCAAAGGAAGTTTTCAGAGAGCACATGCTGAGGGGGATTGTAAACTTCAATCAGGAGAAGGGGTTTTTTTTTTTTTTTTTGAAGGTGATTTTAACAGCGATCGCTTCCGTGCGGGAGTCATGCAGAAGGTGGTCTAGGGAGACTTCGCATTGAGGGAGATCTCGGTGAACAAGGATGGCGACTTCGCCTGCGCAAGTATCTCTGTCTCTGCGATAGAAGATGAATTTATTTAGTTTTGGAGATTTTTTTCTTTCCCAGTCTTGTTTCGCTTAGGAAGATAGCATGCGCATTTGTGAAAAGGTTGCTATTTCACATGGCAGTAAGGCGACCGTTGAGTCCATTGCAGTTAAAGTGAACGAACATTGTGGCAGGGAAGCTTGCTGGGACAGAGCTTTAAGAGATGCTCATCAGGTATTGTAGAATGGAGGTGGCTTGTTGTAGATTTAGGTTGAGGAGTAATCAAGGATACAATCCGATATCTTCAGTTTTTCATAGATGCACACACTTTATTACATAGGAAAGGTAGTAATCCATAGGTGTTTGCCAGATATGTGCACTAATTGCAAAAGGAGATGCTAAATGGAAAAATGTTTAATTTTCTTATACAGGAAGGAATGATCTAGCGAAGAGTAATAAGGAGGTATTGGAATTCCTGCATAGACCAACGCCACCAAGGAGGTTAGAATAGACCTCCTTGGTGGCGTTGAACCAACGCCTAACCTCCTTGAACCTCCTTGAACGCCACAATTCTAACCTCCTTGAACGCCACAAAGGGGCTAAGAAAACTCTCATATGGTTTACAGTTAATTCGACGTTGTCAGTAAATAGCAGGGATTAAAGATACGAGTAATAATTTTAAACTTTCCGATCTCACACATATAAAACAATAAAAATATCGTTATTAAGTTCATATATAATAAAAGGTTACTATTAAGTTCATATATAAGTTCTATCAAATACTTCGCCTTAGTCTGAAATCAAATAATAACACCACTTGAGAGTATAGTATATAGTACTCTTATTTGGCAATATCTTCACGTTCGGTAACTTCTTGGTGTATGTTTTTGTGTGTGGAGTTTTGAATGTTTTCATAATTTGCCATTCTGAAATAATATTATCCCTTTTAAGTAAACATCTACATTGTATAAACATTAAAGGCAGTCATCACAGCCATGTCGACCATAACGGGTACTTTTGGTACGATTTATCTTTTAATATTTTAATCATGGTATTACCATTCTTATTTACAGAGTTATTTAGAATCTTATTCACAGACTTCTGTAAATTCAAGTATTTTGTTTGCTACTCGCCTCTTTTTATTACGGTGGTAATTTTATTGTACGTAAATTTCAGGATTTTATAATAAATTGCATGTGTTTCGTTTCTTATATTTGTGTAATAGAAGGTTTAAGTTTTTTAGTTGTTCTACAAATCGGTAAATTCTTACTTTCCGAGAGCGAAATCTGTTTATGCACGGTGGCCAGTATTAGATCAGCTATTTTTTTTTTTTAATTTTTACTCTTTCATTACATTCTAGTAATTTTTTCCTTCCACGTGATAATAATTAAAAATAACAAGAAAATCAGTCTTATTAATTTATACCTCATTTTTAATATAGAAGAGGACTGTATTTAATAAATCAGATTAAGGCATTTTTGTTATTCTTAACATTCATCCTAATGAAAGCGGTAAATCTGCATTTATATTATTCCTTTCTATTAAATTTTGCCTTTGTCTTCCAGCTTCATCAGTAGACAGTACAAGGAAAACGAATATGAAATATTTGATATTTATGTATTATCCCATTGACTGTTGACTGAAATTATGGCAACAGTTGCCAATCATTATTGCAGAATTTTAAAGGACACCTCATGCATAATTCGCACTTAATCACACTACTCAGTCAATCAGTGGAATAATACGTAAGCACCAAATATTTTGTTTATTCTTATTATTAGTAACGCCAACTGCAAAAATCCATTTGACAATGTTTAGTTTTTAGACATAGAAAACATATATCTAGTATCTAGGTGTGAGAGTTGAAGCTCTTTGGAATGTAGGGAAGTGAAATACCAATTTTGTAAAGAGTTGGTGTATGTTGATGGTGTGTTTCTAAGTCTTCTAGCTCAATGAAAATGCTTTAACTTTGAAATGAGAATGAAAACTACATACTAAAATGTTGCAAAATGCATAATGCTTGAAATTTCAATCGAAACTTTTGCTGAAATAGCAAAATAAATATGTATAGAAACTCAGTTTTTTTCAGGAAAAATTTATCTGTGTAGTATTTCAATGACAAGTAAAACTTATTTTAACCAAAATAGCAACCTTATATTTGCCATGAGATTTTAATTAAAATTCTATCGATATTGAGGGTAATCAATCTCGGTTTCTTCTTTGTCAGGAGCAATAATCTATAAAGAAGGGACCATAAACCATGATTATGCAACAGGCTTGACAACCTCCTTATATTTTAACCTGGAATGGATAGGCTGTGAAACAAATAGCAAAATACAGACTAAGCATAACAAAATAATTGTGCAGTCATTGAAACAATTAAAACTGTTCAGCATGATGACTGGAACAGATAAAATTAAAAAAATAAATAGTCTTGGCTTGAGTTTGAAAAAAGCTTGTGAAGTTGATATGCACAAAGCATAGGAGAGGGAAAATTTGAGGAGCCACAGCATCTGCAAAACATACACAATGCCTGGAAACTTGAGGGTTCAAGAAATGAGGGTAACCAGTAAATTCGAGAATTTGAGGGTAACCCAGTGCATGGGAACTTGACAAACACTTAAATTTATACTTTATTTAATAAACACTTAAATTTTATTATTTAAATTTATACTTATAAATGATGACACAGTCATAATGTGGCAGTAACTATTGGAGCATTTATTTGAGAAAATTTCATTTTCATAAATAGAATTCAGTATTTGAAAGCCTGAGAGTTACACATATGGGAACTTGAAAATGATGACACTGTCACAGTGCAGCAGTCAATGTATTTGCGCATTTACTTCAAAACGATTTTTAACGTGAAAACAAAAAAATAAACAGTAATTCCTGTAAATGTAGACATGATTGCAATAAGGCAGTAATATACGAGTTTGAGATATTTACTTGGAAAACTTTCAGTAGAATTATGTTAGAATAAGTTCATATATAGTAATTAGTTTGTCGCATTATAGTGAATTGTTTGTGAACATTTACGTGGATTTGCACAGTGGGGTCATAGTTTGCAAGATTAACTGTACGTATGATCATGCTGAGAGTTAGATTACTCATAGAGATTAATAAACATTTCAAAACATAGTTCTGAGCAGTGTCAAGCTGTCGATGTATCTGTAGATTTCTTGCATACCAAGAAGAGTTTATGATTGTCCTATGTGCTTTGTGTTGAAAGATATTTCTATATTTCTTAGGTGTAGTTGCCGATGTGAAAACTTCATTAAACAAAACTGGACAAATAAGTGGAAGATATAATGTTCTTTTGACTCGGCTATTAGGGTTGAAATAACATCCAACAAAATTATAAATGGCCACTTATGCTACATTATCTTTTTTGTAGTGTATGCATAATTTGCAACTTAAAGTTTAGCAGTTGTATGTAGGCAAAGTTTGGTTGCATGTTGTAATATTTTATTTACTTTTTGGTTTTACTTGAATCTTCTGAGCAGAAGAACACAGTATTTTGATGTATTGTGCTTTATTATCTATATTTTGCATCGATGTGCAATGATACTAAAGCCAAACTGACAATTATCCAATGCTTAGTATCAATGAGTTTTAGTGATTGAGTCATCAGTGCTTATCCTAACTTGGAAATTGCAGCTGAGAAAATATTATCTAATTTCACAAGGTCAGTGGGAAGGTGAATAAGTTTATAAGTTAGACCATGTTGCCATTAAGGTAAAAACCAAGGTCTGTAAAGTGAAAAGGTTTGTGTATTCGGAAACTGAGATATAGAGTGCATGCATCAAGTCTAAACGTCTGACATCACGAGGAGACCAGAGTTTAGGGAAAATGCGAAGCCATTGCTTTGGAATGTTGAACTCCTATGAGGTTCTCTGGTCACTGTGAGTGAGAATCTTTTTTCAGTGTTAGTAAATTTAAACATAGAGCCAAAAACTGAAATTAACAGTTTACAGAAAATGTTAAAATCTGCCTATCATACAGTTTGCTTCCTGAAGAAACAGTGAAAAAGGAAAATACACAGTTGAAAAGAGAGAGATTTAAAAATGAGGGTAGAGTAGACTTTAAGGTACTCCTTGTATTATGGCGAAGTTATTGTTTGATTTATCGCCAAGTTGTTGTTTCATTTATGGTAGTCTGAGTAGTTGAATGTTATGGAAACCCTATTATGACATAATCAGGTGCATGATTCTGGGAAATTTTGAATCATGGGATGTATTGTAAGCATTTTTGTGGTGTGTGTTGCTTTGATTCTTTAGACGGTAGAATGGCCAAATGTAGTAAGATTAATTTGAAGTTTCTGTACGATTTGGAGCGAAAGGGGAAAAGAGCTTAATTGAATGGTGTGTAAATGAAGGTTTACTTAGTAGCCATTATAAGTGTCCTGTATGTAGGAAGGATATGCGTCTAGTCGAACGTAGAAACCGTTTAGATGGATTTGAATGAGTGTGTAGGAAGAAAGGTTCAGATGGTATGTGAAGTGTTCGATCAGAAAGAGTACCTGATTTGAAAAAGTCATTTGAGTATGATTGATATTGTGAGTTTTACGTGGCTCTGGGTGTATGAAGCGAACTCGAAAATCCTGCTAAGTGAATATTTGCTTTTGGTACTGCTTAAATGTATAACATGTTTTTCTTTTTTTATGTTATTTTATTGTTTTGTTTGAAATGTATTTTATTGAGATTATGTATTTTTTGTTTGGCTATATTGTAGAATTTAGTGCTCCTTTGACTTTTTAAGTGAAAATATATCGATGTGTACATGGACAAAGTAAAGGGAGTGCGCAGTGCACGTTTGTGCAATTCTGGGATTTTTTTAAAGTGAAAATAGGTCGACGTGTACATGGATAAAGTTAAAAGAGTGCGCAATGCCATTTTTGTGCAGTTCGGAGATTTTTTTTTAAGTGAAAATAAGTCGACATGCACATGGATAAAGTCAAAGGAGTGCACAATGCTATTTTTGTGCAATTCGGGGATTTTTTTTTAAGTGAAAATAAGTCGATGTGTACATGGATACCGAGTTTATGCAATTATTTGTCTTGTTATTTTGGCTTTGTGTAGCAGCGCAAAAATCGCCACTTCGCAAGCTAAAATAACAAGTGAAAGAATTGCACAAAATCGGTATCCATGTACCGCCAAAAATCGCCAAGTTTCGCCAAGGGGTACCCTAAACTATACTTTTACCAAAAATGACAAAGTATCCTCTTCCACATTTAGCTACTCTTAGGCGTTGGGCATCATTATTTCAATTGTGGCAAGGCATTTTACACGATGCTTTAAAAATTATGAAAATAATTAGAGAAATTAATAGAATTAGAGTTAGGAAGCTGTTCAGTGTCTCATAGTTATGTTATTTGATGAAATGAAAATTAAAACTACATATTAATATGATACGAAACAGGATAAAATTTTTTACTGGTATTCGCAAATGCAAAAGCTATTAGCACGAAGCCTTTCTGATAGCTGGAAGCAACCACTGTTTATAGACTTAGAAGAATGACAGATGCCATTCGTTTTGACGTGATTTCAAAATTCCATCAAGTTGGGTATAATGAGTGCATCTAATTGCACACTGTGGAAAACATTACAAATGAAAATAAATCGTGGTGTATGCATCCAATTACCAATGAAATTACTTTTTTTTTCCAGATGTGCTGCATCTTTCGAAACTTATATGCAATTGGCTTTTAGATACTGGTTTTGTCTTAAGCGATAACTCCATTATAAGTAATACTCCACTTATAACTCCATTATAAGTAATACTCCACTTTTGGAATTACTTTATATTAAAGCTGGTAAAATCTAAAGTTTGCTGCCAACTAACAGAAATTTGCATATTATGTGAAAAAACTCATGTTGTGATTTAGCAAATTTTATATCAGAAGCAAATAACTGGTTTCATATTTTCAATAGTTGTATTCCGGAAGTGTTTGGACTCCCTTGTAAAAGTGCGTACAGAAAGTGTATAACTCAATGCAGCAATAGATAATTTTTGCAAAA